ACTCACAACTGCGTCTCAACACTTTTACCAATACCATCATTTCAAAACATGTGTTATTCATAGTTGAGGTGTCAAATTAATCGACATGATTGGCCATTCGCTTTGTTTCATTTTAAACCGCATTTCATTTCATTCGCAGACACAGTCTATAATCTTGGCCAGAACTGATTAAATTATCCCAAATCAGTCGAAGTAATGAGAGAGAGCAGAACAGTGTTATTTAGTTCTTTGAAAATTTCATATTTTCCTTATCTTAACCGTATTCGTAGTGTAAGGACTAGTGATGTCATTCACTTATGTATTTATTTCCATCCTATCTCAGCTTCCATGTAACTTGGAGTTCTGTTTCTTCGAAATTTGATTCTTAGTATCGAAGTGTTGCAAGCTCAACACGATTTAGACAGAAGGCATGCGCTTTCTTCTTGGCTTTCACTGATGTTAGGGAAGTAGACTGCGAAATTTGAAGAATTTCAGTCATGCAGCCACTAGTTTCAACGTAAATCCATAACTCTTGGTTGGAAGATTTAAGTGGGTTATGCGAAGGAAAGTTTCGTTTATGGCTGATCGCTAGAGACAGTTTTTCACAAGGGCTAATTTTTGTTTGGTTTCATTGCTATCTTAGCCTATTCTCAACATAAGCCTGGGAAAGACTTTATAATTGATATGCCAAAACACAAGTATCTAATTGTCCCTATCCTTATTTCTTCAAGATCGTCCACAGAATGGAACATCCACATCAAAACCCGGTGGACCCAGCCTTGTGATCAATCACCGAGCCTCAGTAGACAATCGCGACCTAGATCATGAAGCCGAGGTGAAAGAGGCATTCTCTCTTAGCAAATATTTCCTTAACGTGAACGGGAAGGATACCTTTGTTGCTGACATTCCTCTCACAGCCATTAAGTGCATGTCTGTAGATACTCGAAATGAATACCGTAGAATTGGAAGTCTCTACTACAGAGAGAACATTGTCGATTAAGATGTCTTTCTATCCCATCTACCTCTGATTTCCTAACGCTTTCAGTTCCTTTGTATATGTATACCAAATGTATTGTTTTTGCCGGTGTGAATATATATTTGTGTGGTTTCTATTTGTTGTCTTTTTCACGGACTATCTTTGATAACTTCATCTCAAATATTAACTATCAAGGTGATAACCAACGCACTTTCAAATTCCTGGGTAACCTCCAAAACAACAATGGCGCACTTTCAAATTTCTGAGAAATCTGCAAAACAACAGAGTATCTCAAATATTAACTATCAAGGTGATAACCAACGCACTTTCAAATTCCTGGGTAACCTCCAAAACAACAGGGAAAGACCCATGAAAGAACCAACATGCTTAAACAACAAACTGCTTACCACTGACTCCGAAATAGCTAACTACTTTGCGTGGTTCTATTCCCACAAGCAATAGAAAAATCCTTTCGTCAGAAAATCTACAAGAGATATAGAAATACAAGTAGGTGTGTGCGATAGACTTACCTCCACGTGGTGCACCCTGGGCAACGTATGCTCATACGGCAAAAAAGTCTATTAACCGGCAGTTGACTTCTGACTTCAAACTACCCCCCCCCCCTGTATGCTTCAAACTACCATGACCCCACTGTATCTCATATTTGATTACTTCCACATTACTCACCTCACCTTTTTTACCTTTGTGTCTGTCTCTTACATCTTTGAAACACTTCTATTCCACCCCTCCACACTCTCCACTTTTTCACTGATAACTTTTTCACGATAACTATCAAAACGCCTGTCATTTTATATAAAAAAGATTCAAATAAGACAGTTTGATGAAACTAAGGCAGACACAACAATACTAAATAATGTACTTACTGAACCATTCAGACCTTGCGAATTTAATACTGCGATGAAACAGCTAAAGTGCAAGAAGTCTCCTGGCGAAGACGGTACTCACCCGGAATTTATAATTAGAATGGGACCAAAAGCCAAGGAAACCATGCTGACGCTTTTCAACGAAATCTGGGAGACCAGTCTTGTACCTTACAAATGGAAAGTTGCCATAGTAATACCAGTACTAA